TTCTTTGAATATGAAAAAGTCATTATCATTAGTAGCAACTGCACATTGATGTGGAACAAATAAGGCAGACTTAGACTGTAATTCTTAAATAGTTCTTGTGCGTCGTTAAACAGATCCCCCACCGGAAAGGCTGAGTTAATCTGGTCGTTCATTTCAAAACATATGAATGTGTCATATTAAAGTGTTTTGCTGGGTGAGCTGACCTGTGGAGTAGATCCACAGGAGTTCAGCTAAACTGAGCTTGAAGCTATTTTTTGTGTCAAAAGTTTGTAGAACAGAAAACCTAAAAATGTATTGTTTCGACATTGATTGCACTTGATTTGAAATGTGCTCTATAAAATGTGGTTAAAAGTTCCCATTAGTGAATCTGATAGGGTTTTGCAAATCATTCGGTCTTATGTGGAACACAGACACACACAGACAGATGTGTCCATGCACACATGTGGCTCTCCTTGAGAATGTCCTGGTGGTTGCCTCTCTGCGCTGTACATTCCTCAAAGCTCCATGTCATCTCGAACTCTTCCAGGAAAACAACTTAAGCAGGGGCCGGCCCCGAGTCGGAGTCCTCCGGACATACCATGCGCCACGTCACGCCAGCTTACCCAAACATGTCTGTTTTTTTTAGTTTTGCATCTGTGTATGTGAAGTGATGTAGCTGTTTGAGGGGGATCTCAACAGTTTTTCAGTTTGTCCTCCTTGTTTTTTTAAATGTCTCTCCTTCTCTCCTTCTAACAACTTGTTTCTCAATCTTGTCTTTATGACATCATGGCTGACACGGCTTGTGTTGACATTGCAGTTTAGATGCGGAGTGGAAACGTCTGCTGTGCCTTAGTGGCTGGTCTGCCTGGTGGCTCAGAGTTTCAGACTATCTCATCCTTGAAACTGCTTTAGCTTTTGACCTATGCCCCCCGCAGCAGCTAAGAGGATTGGATGTTTATGCATGTCTGTTATGGTTAAATGTCAGCAGATGCTGTATAATAGAACAGTCTTGAGTTTTGCAAAATTATGGAATCAGAATTGCTCTGCACATGTACATTCATTTCGTAACAAATGATTCCTTCAGCCGCATGCATGACAAAGCCCTGAAACACTTGGCTGTGCTGTATAGGGTATAGATATGAGCTATTTTATAGGAGTTCCAGTATATTTTTATACCCACTGTTAGATTGGCTGTAACAATCTGGCTGCTCTGTCTTTTCCAGTAAAATAACAGTGACTCCAGCTTCAATAATTAGCTAAAGGGCATCATGCTGTAATCCCTCCTCACACAACAGTAATTTAAATTGCTGTTGTCCAGGTAGCCTGTCTTTGTTTGTGTTTTCTAAGCCACAAGAACCATTTAGTTTGGAATTGAAATATATTCCAAATGCTACTGTAAATAATGAAACCTTGCTGGAAATTGCAGTCCAAAAAAACAAAAAGGCAAAAGGCAAATATTATTCAGTTGTATATAACTTACATTACTGAAATTAGTGCATGATTGTTTGTTGAAGTAACAGGATAATAATTTTCATGATAGTAGTCTAAACAGCAGGCATATTTAGAATAGAACAGAATAGAAAATCCCTTTATTGTCCCATAATGGTGAAATTCTGGTGTTTATAGCAGCAAAAAGATGATAGAAAAAATGGTCACACAAATATGGACCTTAAAAAATCTATATAAATAACATAATAGTGAAGAGTTAAAAGATAAACAACGTACTGTACTGTAAAGTGTTATAAAAGTATAGAAACTGTGCACCTGGAGAATAAATAACCAATATTGATCAATACAGCTATGTACATTTTTCAGTAATGGATATTTGAAAATAGCAGCAACATCAGAGATGTGCAAAATGACAGCAGCATGTTATTTAACTGACTAAGGTAGAATCTGTTCAAAACTGTACTTTACATTGTCACCTGTCAATAAGATGCACATTAACAAA